GCATCCAGATCGACGAGATGTTGAATGGCCAAGAGTTCGCACAACAACGTAGAGCCTTGATCAGGGTCTGGCTGTATGTGCGCTCGATCTTCAGATTTAAAGGCATCAGGATAGCCGTTATGCTGAGTCGATCAAGGACTGGTTCGACTGGGAGTGGGTCGATTTTCACTTGAGTTCCATAGTTGTTAAGAAGGTTTGGGGGTCGCTGAAGCTCTGGAAATTCGTGCGAGATAACAGCATTTTTATCGGCGTCAGCTCGGGTCAGACTTCGCGACCCTGGAGGTCGGCCACGACCACGACGGGCCGGTGTCACGGGCGTGAACTGTTTGCCATGGTGCCGATTCGGATGTAGATTGGGAACGGCCTCAAATGAAGGCAGTGGATCGTCTGCCTTTGGCTGATTTCCATTCTTGATTTCCACCTTGGTATTCATTGGAATGACAGCCTTTTCCTGGCGCGGGGTCTTCGGCAATGGAGAGGTTTTTGAAATGGCTGCCTTCCGCGGACGCCTGGTCTTGGCCTCAGCCCTACACTCATTGTGCAATTCCTGCTGCATTTTCGCCATGCGCAGCCAAAAGCACTCGCACAGGTTGACAGCAGCTTTAAACACGGGCGAGTCCGGACTGTTGTAGACTCTGCAGTTTTCGAAAATCAATAGAATGTCTTCCAGGACGTCTGCACCGCCCCAGTAGTATGTGTACTCAAATCTTTTCTTGATTGTGTTCAAGTCCATGGGGTTTGCGATTTTTTCGTGGTAGTCCCTGATCTTCAGCTTCACAGCATCGACAGGATGGCGAAAGTGCAGCGAGGAAGGGTTGCGCGACAACGCATTCACAGCGGTTCTCAGTTTTAACAAGAAATTGGTTACCCTTCCCTTACGATTGGGTGGCGGCATCACCGGGGGCTGCACAATTCCATTTACCGGCTGCACTCTGGGCTCGCACCGTGGCGGCCGCTGCTCCCCTGGGTGCCGGTTTTCGAGCACGCTTAAAGCTTTCTCAAAGTCCTCACGACGCCTATCATCCATTGTCTGAGAATAGAGATTTCAATTAGATTTTGGACCGGCCAAATGGCTGTGGCAAGTGCCACAGGTAGACTTATCGTAGACTGTTCGAATTGACACATTCTATTAACCGAAAAACTTAATTGTAGAGCGTACTTACATTCCTTTTCTTCTCGCTGGTGGTTTAATTAAACCTTTTATTCAGATGCTTTTTTTTTGACAAGCATCTGAAAAGTGTTAGGGATGGCTGATAAAAAGTAAGCACATCGATACACGCATTGTGTGCTATCGATATTCAGTGTTGAGCAATGCCAATAATATGGCAAATGAAAATGGGCTCTCTCGATATGAGCCAAAGCAATGTAACGGGCACAACCATTTAAGGTATATTATATACTTTTCAGGATATTTTGATCACGAAATTGGGTTCATTGTATATTTACGGTATATCGGTATGGTATAATGGTATATTTAATGAATTTCATTGGCCTATTAAATTCCATTTTTAAAGTACCTGCGAACGAATTGGAACGCTTATTGCTGATTGATCTAAAGATCAATCTTTAGATCTTTAGAGGATCTAACTGATGGGCGGACAAGAGAGTGAGTGTCAGGAGGAGTCAGAGATGTGTCTGAATTATAATGTCCTTTTATTCTGCTACTCTTCTGCTACTACTACTATTCTGCCACACCTTTCCAATGGTCCAGTCATCCGTCACCTCCGCACGGGCGAATTTTGTGGCAGCCATCGATAGGCGGACCACCATGGAAGCACGGATCACCACCCCCGGGACCAGCACAGCATCCTCTGAGATCTCTCAGGTCCGCCGAGACCAATGGCAGAACTTGTGGGCAAAGGTGGATGCAGAGTTTGAGTCCTGTTCGGTGGCAATGATGGAAGAGGCTTGGGAAGATCAAATATGACCAAAATATGAGGGCTATGAGCAGTGCAGAAATAATAGACTGTTAGATCTCATCTTTGTCAGCAATGCCTCTCGTACAACGGTTTTAAGAGGCAATCCGATATCTTTTCCCGAAGATTCGCATCAGCCCAATTTATCTATATTTTTGGAGGTCTCTATTACTAACACCATTTTACCTTCAAAAAGTCGTATATAGTGTTTTCGCAAAACTAATTTTATCGATCTTTGTCTACATCTCTCGCAAGTTGATTGGTCCTTTCTTTAGGATTAGGTCCTCATAACATATAGAGCCTACTGTCAATATGTTTTACGAAACATTATACTCTGCCCTCGATACCCACGTCCCTGAAGTCACCGTATTTGTTTCCTCTAAGCCTCCGTGCTATTCCAAGTATCTGTCTTACCTAAAAAATAACGAGAAGGGACGTGTGAGATGCTTCTTACGCGTCACAACTTTTATACCCGGCACTCAGTACTACTTCTGCACCTTAGCGGTGCGTTTTCAAATTTAACATATTTTCTTCATCTGTCATATACATCTACAACACTACTCACACCAACACGCTCCGTTAGCTCGCCGCCCTCCCTAGACCCACACACTGCAGACTCGCCGCAGAGGCAGTGCCCGCACACAAAAAAAAACAAAGTCGGAAGAGGCAGGGGCCGATTGAAGCAGAAGCAGAGGGTGAATAAGAGAATGTAAAAAGAACAACAAAAGCTGCGGGACTGGGTGGGTTTAACCACTGCAAATTAATATCTTCATTCTGGCTATAATAATGATCCAATCGGAACCCAATTTGATGATCTGATAGATATGGCCATTCTCTACGGAATGGCGTTTTTAGTTTTCCTTTGTCTTAAAAATTGTAGATTTGGGAAGTTTTCGCCCTTTTGCGGGGTCGGAAAAGGGCGTGGTTAATTTCTGAAGTACACTTGTAACAGTGTGAGCATACAGAAGTCTGGATGCAAAATTTGGTAGCTCTAGCTTTTATGGTCTCTGAGATCCAGGCGCTTAACAAGACGGACAGACGGACGGACAGACAGACATGGCTCAGTCGACTCGTCTATTGTTGCTGATCAAGAATATATATACTTTATGGGATCGGAAACGTTTCCTTCTGTGTGTTACATACATTCACTTTGTGCACAAATACAATATACCCTATTGACTCTTCGAGTACCGGGTATACAAAATCTCGGCTCTACAAAAAGTACTAGATAACTGGTTCTTGGTCTTTGGTTCTTTCGCTCTCAATTTCTTACGGTCAATACGAAATGTTATAACGTATATCTTTTCCAATGTGGCACAAATTTCCGTAGTAATCCCAAAAAATTATTTTCGTTCGTCAACTCAAAATGCAAGTCTAAGGCGTTCCGTTCTTCCCTTCACTTACAGTCTAAAACAGAAACTTCAGATCAAGGAATTCAAATTTATTTGCCACCTTCTTTCAATCGACGTACTCCTTGGATACTTATGACTCCTCCACCCCTTATCCATACTATCTACCTCATGTTAAAAACGTGTTTCTTCCCTTCCTTGAAGAAAGTGCTGTCTTCGAATGGCTTTCATCAATTGACATCTGTTTCTCTGCGGGTCCAGATAAAGTTCCGAGCTGTATTTTAAAATATTGCGCTAAAGCCCTATCTCATCCTTTGACCTTCTTATTTAATTTATCCCTGGCCTTGACCTTGATGAATTAAGCATTTGGTGTTCGAATAACCTCCTTTTCTTGAACCATTCCAAGAGCAAATATATGACTTTTTACCGCCGTGCCCCACATTTTGTCTCCTATTCTCTAGGACACCATGCTCTGGATCGAATCTCCACATCAAATGACTTAGGAGTCCTATTCGATCACAAGCTATGTTTTAATAGCCATATTGCTTCAACTGTTAACAAAGCTAAGGGAGTTTTTGCGTTTATTAAGCGTTGGTCAAAAGAGTTTGACGATCCATATATAACTAAAACACTGTACGTCTCGTTGGTTCGCCCGATATTGGAGTATTGTTCTTGTGTGTGGAGTCCACAATACAAGAAGCAACAAATAATTATTGAATCCGATCAAAAACAATTTTTAATATTCGCCCTTAGAAATCTAAACTGGGACTCTAAGAGACTCCTTCCACCATACCTATCTAGGCTAAAACTACTGAACCTACCCTCTTTACACCATCGCAGAATTTGCAGATAATTGTTAATTAAAATAAATAAAAAGCTGCCTCATTGACCAAATTTACAGCTTCTTCCGCTTTACTCCTTCCTTTCGACCTTAGCTACCTTTCCAATTCGGTTATTACACTTTAAATTCAGAAATCATAGCTAAAAGCCCTACGTGATTGTTCATTCTCTTTGCTAGGGATGGAAAGGATTTATCCGTCTAGTTTTTAGCAAGTGTTGAAGCCATTCCCCATTCGATGTGTTCTAGTGTTGGAAAAGCTTACATCGTGTTTTGTTTTGTGTTGAGTTGCCTTGGAAGCGAATCGTTGCTTTCGCATCTCTAGGACATAATGACAGAGGCATATTTTTTTGAGTGCTTAATCGAAAATTTGCAAGATGTGAAAAAAGATTCGGTCTCTAAAAATACGAGAAAGTTTATTCTGAATAACTTGATTCTGCAATCAACTCTAATAAAATCAATAACATCAATCTTCTTAAGCAATGGTAAGACTACACCTTTTTTGTGAGTACATTTAAATTTAATATGTGTCCCCCACGATACCCCGTCGTTACATGTGTAGGCTCCTACAACCGGTACATACACCAATAAAATTCACTATGTCAAAAAGCAGATCCTCGAAAAGGTAACAATGAAGCAATATGCACAAGTTTTTATGCTGCCCATGGACAGAAGAAACCGAGATATTGCGGGACTCAAAAATCCCATGGACCTGGGCACAATCATTATTCGTGTGCAGAAACGGCGCTATCGAAATGTAGATGAACTGATTTTCGATCTCAAACTTGTCTATCAGAATTGGCTTTCGTTGAAGAGGGAAAGTGCAATCCTGTGCCGGCCTGGCAATCAAGTTGCAAAAATTCGTGGAGAACAAGGTGTCGAAAATGCCAGAGGGCCAGGAGTTGGAGATCAATAAGGATTCCAAGATGACGGTCAAGTCCCTCCAAAATTTTCCCTGGCGGCAGTTAAATAGCACAGAGCCGACTCCAACAGAGCCTATGAACATCCTACGGATGTTTAGACAGAGCCCTATGAAGAGGATGATTCATTGCGGATAATCACACAAATTCTGAGCAAAACGCAGCTGATGCACTACCTTCAGCCACCCGATATAAGTATCTATGTTGATACTCTTGGTGACTGCAGCAATGAATGCAACTGTCAGTTGTGGGACAGCAACGTGGATGATTTGACATCGCATGAGCTGCAGACTGTCATGCATATAGCGTTGCAACATAATGTGCCAGTCACTATGAAAAAAGGCAGAATGGACTTAAGCATAACGAAATTCTCCCCCAAAGTTATATCCATATTAAATGAGGCTCTCCTTCAACGCAGACGCAACGATTCTGTATTGCTGCAACTTATGACAGCTGATGAACGGCAGGTTATGACGGAATATTTGGAAAACAGGTTGCTCAGACTCAACACCCTCTTGAACATATCAAATCGTACGAGTACTTTAAGGAGACATGCCACTATCAGTAACAGTCAGGATCTGGAACACTCCGGAACGGTTATCTGATGACGAAAAGGAGGAAAAGGGAGGAGGAAAGCATGTTAAAAAAGGACAGACCTAAAAGAAATCGTAAAGGATGGAAGAACAGGCGAAACAAATAGAAAATTACTAACAAGTTAATACATACATATATATGTGCATATATGCATATTAAATATTCAAAAATAATTGCAATGTCCGATCGACACGTACACAACCCACCCCAATAAAAATTAAATTCGTCGTTTATTTCTTGCGGTTCAAGATTGTGTCTTTTGTGTGTTTCTCTATTCTGTGTGAGTTCTGCAGATTTCCAAAATAACCATGAACATGATAATACTATTCGGACTCCTGTCTGGACTCGGCAAAACTGTTAAAGACACTTCTCTGGCTCCTCTCTGACACTCACTCTCTGGTCCGCCCATCAGTTAGATCCTCTAAATATCTCGAAGCATCTGCGGGCTGGTTGCCCATTTTTGGTGTTCTTTTGGGTCCTTTTCTTTNTCCTTCAACGCAGACGCAACGATTCTGTATTGCTGCAACTTATGACAGATGATGAACGGCAGGTTATGACGGAATATTTGGAAAACAGGTTGCTCAGACTCAACACCCTCTTGAACATATCAAATCGTACGAGTACTTTAAGGAGACATGCCACTATCAGTAACAGTCAGGATCTGGAACACTCCGGAACGGTTATCTGATGACGAAAAGGAGGAAAAGGGAGGAGGAAAGCATGTTAAAAAAGGACAGACCTAAAAGAAATCGTAAAGGATGGAAGAACAGGCGAAACAAATAGAAAATTACTAACAAGTTAATACATACATATATATGTGCATATATGCATATTAAATATTAAAAAATAATTGCAATGTCCGATCGACACGTACACAACCCACCCCAATAACAATTAAATTCGTCGTTTATTTCTTGTGGTTTAAGATTGTGTCTTTTGTGTGTTTCTCTATTCTGTGTGAGTTCTGCAGATTTTCAAAATAACCATGAACATGATAATACTATTCGGACTCCTCTCTGACACTCACTCTCTGGTCCGCCCATCAGTTAGATCCTCTAAAGATCTCGAAGCATCTGCGGGCTGGTTGCCCATTTTTGGTGTTCTGTTGGGTCATTTTCTTATCCGTTTGCACGTTGGTAATGTCTTTCAGTGGCTCTCGTTTCATTCTTGGAGTTTGTTCTCTGTTCTTTGTATATTGTATTTCTGTCTTGAACTGTACAGTTTTTAGAGTGAGTGAGAGACAAGTTAGTCAGTCTGGTGAGTCCTTGTTCAAGGCATACTATAAGGAATCCTTAAAGATGGAAAAGAGGCTTCGCAATGGAAGCTTTATCTCTTCCAGCAATAGAAAAAAAGAAGAACGAGAAGGGACGTGTGAGACGCTTCTTTCGCGTCACAACTTTTATACCCGGCACTCAGTACTACATCTGCACCTTAGCGGTTATTTGTCAAATTTTACTTTTTTTCTTCATCTGTCATCTACATCTACAACACTTCTCATAACATCACGCTCCTTTAGCTCACCCCCTCCCCATGATCCACACACTGCAGAGGCAGAGGCCGCACACTGGGCGAAGCAGAGTGTGAATGAGAGAATGTGCAAAAAACAAATAAAAGTTGAGGGACTGGGTGGGTTTAGAAACTGCAAAATTTTTACTTCATTCTGGCTTTAATAATGATCCAATCGGATACCAATGGTGATCTGATAGATATGGATTCATATCTATATATATCTATATATCTGATAGATATCATTCACTACGGAATGGCATTTTTAGAGTTCTTTTATCTTAAAAATTTTAGTTTTGGGAGTTTTTCGCTCTTTAGCGGGGTCGGAAGGAGACGGGGCCCTTTTTTTTCATACACATGTAACAGTGTGAGCATACAGAAGTCAAAATGCAAAATTTGGTGGCTCTAGCTTTTATAGTCTCTGAGATCCAGGCGCTCAACAAGATGGACGGACAGACATACGGACCGACAGACATGTTGCAAGCGACTCGGCTATTGATTCTGATCAAGATATATATACTTTATGGGGTCGGAAACGTCTCCTTCTGTGTGTTACATACATTCACTTTGTGCACAAATTGTGCACACCCTATTTACTCTTCGAGTACCTACTACTCGAGTACCGGGCATAAAAACAATCGCCAGCAAGTGGATCAGTTGGTCAGGCGGCCAGTGGCCCCGGAAACCCTGTCGCAACCCTATCGATAGAAAGCACGCAGTGAGTACTTCACAACAACCACGCTAGATGGCGCCTTGTGTTCTTTATTCAAATTTCTGTTACAAACCAATAGGAATGATTTCTGTTTGCTTTCTTGGATAATTCAAGTTATTTAAGGAGTTCCTCTTTTTGAGATGGTGTCATGGCGTCCAATTTCAAACGAACCGCTTCGTGAGCCGTCGCCTTTACGTGAGCCATGCGTCCTTCATAATCAGGAATAATTTCCACGACCTTTTCGAAGGTCCTCTGTGTCGCTGTGCGGATCGATGGGCATTCGGTGAAGCAGGACATTGCGTTCTGCAGCATTCGGTGTAACTTAGTCAGAAACCAGTCCCAGCCCTTAAACTGCTCGCCCGCCAGCATCTTCTCCAGTATGTCCCAATCCAGAGGCTCATCATGGAAGTCATTATCTAGAT